AATAATGTAATAAGTGCAATAAATAATATAAGAATAATGTAATAAGTCACGGGAACTTTCTGAGCCATGTTCACAGATGACCATTTATACATTTATTAACAATTTTTCTGTAAGTTCTAATGATTAACGATGGCTAAATGGGAGTTTTGTAACACTTGTTTTAAAAGCAGGGTTATAAGCGTTCCAACAGTTTTCATTTTCTTGTGGCCAAAAGTATAAAGAGCAGCTTGAACCTTTGAGCTTTGAATGAACTTCATCCTGGTTTATTGGATGGAGTTGACAGCGGTTGTTAAATATTGTGACGTTTCTGTCTGACAGCGATCACTGAGTGAAAGAATAATCTTATGGTTATTAACGAATAAATAATTCTGAAGAATAAACTTGTTGGAGCATCTGTAATATGATTCATTTTTGCTTGAGACTTCCTGACATTTATAAACGCAACAGATAAAAATAAATCGTATCTAATTTAAAGAGCTGTTGTAGCTGAAATTTGTCCCCAGCTCTGAGTACTGCACATCATAGTTTAAAACATAACTATTGAAGTCAACACTGTTAGCAAAATACCTGCTTAACCACTGGACTGATTTTAGTGAAACTCACAAATAATCATTTGACGGTTATCTACAACTGATTGGCTCAATCAAGATGGCTGCCACAGCTAATCAACTATAGAAAACTCAGAAATGACTAAAAATTAGTCACATTTATATATTTGTTTCAAAATAAAAGGGCATCTGGCCTTTAATTGAGTTGATCTTATTTTTGTGGATGTTTCTCAGAACCCATCTTGATCACTTTAGTTGTTCTGACCAACCAGTACCTCCAGGTTTTAAACCTGAAGAAAAAATCCTGTTGCTGTAAAGTTTTAAATGTGAACTTTAGCTGCGTTTTCCTTCTGTTTCAGGTCAATCTTGACAAAATATCTTAAAAAGTTCAATCTGGTCCTCTGGACATTCAAAAAGCAAAACAACAACAAAAAAGTAGAAACGTTTCGTCTCTCATCCTGAGGACTTCCTCAGTCTGAGGAGCTGTTTTCAGCTCAGTCTCTTAAATAGCACCTTCTCAGGGTGGATCAACCAGTTTGCTGCTGACAACCAGAACCAGCTGATCACATGCTCAAGAAGGACCATCAGCCTAACAATGGATCATTAGCACCTGATGGCTGTTTACTGTTCACAGAGGGCTGAGTGATACTAGCAATCACAGCATTGTAAGAGGGGGACAGTTGAACCCGGAGGCTCCACCCCTGTTTAATGATGGACGGTTTCTTTTCACAAAGATGGCCTCCTTTACTCCTCTCTCAAACCATCGTTCCTCTCTGTCCAGGATGTGAACATCTTCATCCTTGAAAGAGTGACCTCTGACCTGGAGATGAGTGTAGACCTCAGAGTCCTGGCCTGATGATGTTGATCTTCTGTGCTGGTCCATCCTTTTGGCCAGTGGCTGTTTAGTTTCCCCGATGTAAGACTGATCACCCTCCTGACACTGAACAACATACACAACATTATTCTGTTTGTGCCGGGGGACTGGATCTTTGGGATGAACCAGTCTTTAATGTATTTTGGGGTTTAAAAGCCACTGGGACGTTATGTTTAGAAAATAAACGTCTCAGTTTCTCTGATACTCCCTCAACATCTGGAATGACCACTGGTCTGGGTTCCTCCTTTTCACCTGATGGCTGACTGGAGTCCTGTTTGGGTTTCTTCTCTGCTTTCAGGAAGGCCCAGTTAGGATATCCACATTGCTCTAGAGCCTGTCTTGTGTGGGATTTCTCCTTCTGCCTGGCTCCTGAGCTAGTGGGGACGCTGTCTGCTCTGTGGTACAGAGTCCTGATGACTCCTAACTTGTGCTCCAAGTAGAAGTTAACTGACTCCAGGAGATGGCAGCAGAGAGACACAGGACAAACCTAAAGGGTGTCTGAGCTGATGCCTGATCAAAAAATACTGTAGACTTGTACGGTTTTAAATAGACCGGTCGTCGATTAATTAATATATATATATGTAGAAATTATGTAAGTGTTTATGTGGTCTCTAAGACCTCCATGGATCCGGTGTGACAGAGATGGACCGGCTCCAGTGTGAGGTGATCCGTGTTGTTTGATTCGGCCCTAGTTGTCAAACGAGCCTCCATTAAAAAAACATGAACGAAGTGGATTTTCTTCATCGGAACAAGACTCAGAATCTGCTTTTAGAGAAGAGAGTGAAGATGAAAGTTCTCGGTGTCCATCAGCAGAAGGATGCTGTTCCAAACCAAACATCTGGTAAGAAGAATCACAGATTTAATGAGTTTTACTACAACCAGCACAAAGTGGCTAACTGTTAGCTTAGCTTAGCTAACAGCTAACTTAGCTTAGCACATCGCTGCTAAAATAAACACGAACAAAATATATGAATAGGTTCATAAATGGAATACGTCGCTGTAACATTTGTTAGGTATTAATTTGTTCTGACGTATTTATAAAACATAAGGTTTAACGGCTTTAAAACGAGTTTTCTTGCATTTCGATCAGCAACTGTGTTTCCAATAAAAATCCTTACAGAAAACAGTAATTAATAAAGTGGTAGACTTTGTAAGAATGACAAAAAGTAATTTATAAATTGTGGTAACTGTGTATTGTTTCCATCAGAGTCTGGAGAAACAGACTTGATGAGTTCAGACCTAAAATATAAATTTGTGATCAGATGATTAGACTTGATGCAAACTGAACTTCTCTGTGGGTGAATCAGCTGGGACACTTGCATCACTTTTTAAAGTCTTTGTTGCTCTGGATAAAGTTAACAGATAACAATCTTCATACAGAACAAGGTATCATTTGCTCAAGCTCATATTTATTTCCACCAAAGTGTACAACCTGGTCACTTTAGGCCGTCTTCCAAGAAAAGGTAATGCTGCCAAGTGTCCCAAAATCTCTCAACAGATCCTTTCAACGTATATCTAAACTTTTCCAAATGAATATGACACAAAACTTCTCTTATCCAGTGTTCATATGCTGGGGAATGCAGATAGTGTTTCTTTTAAAGACACATTTTAACGTAAGCCATTGATCATCTTTTAATACAATGAGAGAGAAACACTTGTAAATTTATTCCACCTAAAACATTCACGTGATTGCAACAATCCTGGAGCTCCGTTTCAGTTTGAAGCATTTTGAGACAGAGCCTACAGTTAACCATGGTGTCCATATGTCTTCTGCAGATGACCGCCAGCTGCTGGAGGTTAAAGAAGAAGAAGAGGTTCCACATCTGTGGAGTTCCAGTCTGGACCAACAGGACCCAGAGCTCCTCATCATTAAGAAGGAAGAAGAGGAACTGTGGAGTAGTGACGAAGGAGAGGAGTGTCCTGCGAAGACACACGATGAAGAGAGATCCCAGTTATTCCAGTTCCATCAGATCAAAACTGAAGTCGACAGAGAGACAGAACCTCCGACCAGCAGCTCAGCTGAACAGATAAAAACAGAAACTGATGGAGAGGACTGTGGAGGACCAGCAGGACCCCAAGCTGAATGGAAGTCAGGTTAGAAACGCTGCTCAAACTGTGTGCACTGTCTGACGTTCACTCTGATGTGGATTCCTCTCATCTTTATGATCTTCAGGCTGCAGCAAAGCTTTAGTCAGACCCGTTATGATACTTTTATTTGGTCTGTGATTGTCCCGAACACCAGCAGCCTTTAGAAACGTGTCACTAACAGATTCAGAGTAAAATTAGTTTCAGCTTGCTTCACTGTCCTGATTGTGTTTTGGACATTTCGTTACTTTATCCACTCTGTAGTTTAGAGCTCTGGGGACAAGCAGAGACCCTGGACTGAAAAATGTTTTTACAATCGAGATTCAGTTTATTGTCATTCATCATTTTAAAACAACCTTTAATTAGGATGCGTCCCTCAGTTTAAGGGTCATGGTTTGGTACAGTAGGAAAAAAAAAACATGTTTTTTTAAGCACAGTAACTCTTGAAGATGTTTTTTCTTCATCTTAAAAGGTTTGCTTCACATATCAGTTTGTATAAGAATAATCGGGGAACAACACTTCACAGAGATAAAAAGTAAAATTTTTCATCTGGTACTTCACTGCAATATAAAAAGGTGATTTTCCTTTTCGTTCAGTGTGAACAGTTAATGACCTACAGGCTGTGGCGGACAGACAAGGAAAACAAACACTGGGTTTAAATACACAACTAGTTTTAAACTGTAAAAGACACGATCCTGAGAACACCGACGTTCACTGCAACTCTGTTCCTTACGTCTACAGTTTTCTCATAACCTGCCGTTTTGTTTTAAAGCTTTTAAACTCTTCGCTGTGTTAACGGGAGCAGCTGAAAATACTGATGTAGGTCAAATAAGAGCTGCAACTCTAACTAAAAAGGTTTTATCTGTTTCATTTGGCTCAGACGTTGAGAAGAAATGTTGCAATAAGACGTAGAACCACAAAGACGGAAGCTTGGACAGCACTGATACTGATGATGATGAAAACAGGTGATCTTTTGGATTCCTCGTATCAAACGGCGTAAGCTCTCAGCTGCTGTGTGTTTGTTAATCTCTCAGCAGCTGATCAGACGTGTGTGAGTTAACGCCAGGACTCGGGCTGCTCACACCGGGAGTGATCGTGTAGAACAATGTGAGACACGCACAGCTAATCATCTGAAATAACCATGTCTGAATCAAAATATGGATCCAACTGATTATTAATATTATCCCTGTAGATTACATTGTTTGGTGTATTTTTATTTAATTAACAAATTTCTGTTTTAAATCCTTGTGATAAAGTACATTATGGAGTGGGAGTAATTTAAATGTTATGTCATTTCTAAGCAGCCAGTCCAGTGAAGGATAAATAGTTTTTATTAAAAGCAGTTGGCTGTAAAAAAATAAAAATAAAAATAATAACTAGTTTGTCCAGAAATGATCCACCAGTATTTTAAATCAAACCAGAATGTCTTTATATTAAAGACCTTCTACAAGTTGCCCCTTCGTCCATGTTGTTTGTGTCACAAGCACTAGAATAAAGCAATTAAAGGATAAAAGCTAATCATTAGATGACAATAAATAAGTTCATCCTCCCACACTTCATGACTTTAAAGCCAACTCAGTTGTTTTGTCACTCACGTGTTCTCATAAACGTCTGTGAGCCTCTGAAGCGTGCAGAACCCAAACCTTAGTTTCCTTGCTGTTGTTTTAAAGGAGTGCACAGCAGTTTTGCATTTCTCTGTAAAAAAAACTCAGTTGGAGTCACATTGAGTTCATCTTGTTCTCAAGCGGAGCCGATCGCAGGGCCTGCTGTGTCCGATGAGGAGGACTCGGAGGATTCCTCAGCCTCCCAGCACGCACTGGCTCAGGAGAAGAAAAAGACGAGTCCAGCTGACGGGGACAGACAGTATTTTTGGAGGGACGGACACCAAGATACAATGGCAGAATTTTGGCTCAGTCACCCGATCTTCTACGATAAGGCTCAGCAGCATTACAAGAACAAAGAACTGAAGCTGCAGCTCCTGCAGGAGTTGATTCAGCAAAACTGTGAGACATGGGAGAAGCTTCACAGCCCGCTGCCGACCGGTGAGTAGGAAGTGTGCCTTTTCATTGCAGAATTTATTTAGAAATTAAATCTGGCAAGAACAAATATTTGTAGGCAGGTAATTTTCTCAGAGTGTGTGGGCATTTATGTGTTTTTTTTTTTTTTAATTTAGTACACTAATATTAGTTGTGGAGAATACGTTATGGTCAACCAAAAGGTGCATGGTATTCATAATCTTATTATCTGTAGTTATTAAAATATAATGTTGGTGAAAAATACTGACATTTCTTTTGTGTTCCTTGAATGTTACAGTTATCCAAGTGGATGCACATTTGCGTAACATGCGAACCCGATTCGTGAAGCTGATGAAACGCAGATCTGCCGCCCCCGCGCTCATACTGTCGTACACGGATCAGAAGATCTGGGAGCGCTACCAGTTCCTTCGCCCGTACATTCAGCGCAGCAGGGCATCAGCAACGCACGCGGTGAGTGTGAAATGTTGCTTCAGTACACGTGTTCAAAACGTTTCACTCAACCTTCGGCTTTTTGTTGTGCTGGTAGTTTTCTGGAGGACAACCTGGAGGTGATGCTGCTGATGAGGCCGGGCAGGATGACAAGAGTCTGCTGTGGAGTCAGCAGCCTTCCACCTCCCAGACCAAGTCCAGAAAGAAAGGAAAGAGGAAAAAGAGACGTCTGGTCACGTCTTCTGTACCGTCCGCTCTACTAGACAGTGAGGACATATCTAAGATGGAGGTGACACATTCTACAAAAGCTTGAACAGATTCATCTTAAGCTTTAATCATTTATGTCTTTCTTTATTTGTCATCTCCATAACTTTGTGTTTATATGTTGCAGATTTTGCAGCAGGCCAAGAACTTGCTCTGCAACATCAGGACCCCAACAAGGAATGATCACGAGAGGAGGGTCAGAGACTTCAGCAGGTATATGGAGTCCGAGATGCTTCGGATACCAGAGTCTTCGTGGGATGAGTGTAGTTTCACCATAATGAACGTGATCCGAGGGTTCAAGGCTGCTCAGCAACCGGGTCACCTGGCCTTGAGACAACCGCAGGCGTACCAGCAGGTACTCCATCACACATCCCATTTTCTTTATTCAACAATGTAAGGAGTTTTCAGCAAGAGAAGAACTTTGGAAACACTAGAACAGCTGATTCAGATTGATGTAGTTTTTAATCATTTTAATCAATTTTAATTTCTTTTAGAATTATGGAAGCCAGTACCAGCAGCCAGCAGGATATTACACACAGCAGAGTGGCACCTTCTAGCAGTCTGGTACAGAGTGGTCAAGATGGTCTGTCCTAACCTTGATTGCCACAGTGAGTAGTTGAGAGTTGGACCCTACAGCACCTATTTGGGACTGGACAGTAGCTGAAGCCTTCAGCACTTTAACAACAGTCCAGTCACCAGGAGGAAGGCAGCAGCTAGACACGTGACGCCAACACAGAGCTGAAGCAGCCACCACAGCCTCAGTATCATCGTGGACTAGAGGCAGGGCGGGAAGATGGAAGTTAAAACCACAAAGACTCCATGTAGGCAACCTGTGGTACAATTTGTAGTGCACTTTAAAAAGTTGAATAGAAAATTTTATTGGTTGAAAAGAACCCTTTATATATCTATATATTATTTATATTGATGGTGCAGCCCATGTCCCTAGTGCTCAGACTCCTGCTCCAAAAATGCAATATGGCGGCACTTAAAATGGCTATTTTTGTTTTAGTTTTGGACAGTGGAAGTTAATAGAGTTGCTTTGTCCCTTTTTATTTATGTCCGTTAGGTTTGGACGATGGACAGAGATCTTTCCATCAGCCGTCAGTACGACCACCACTGATTGGCAATTTATTCACCAGCTGCTTATTTGTGGTCCAAAAAATAAAACCGTCAGTGGTTTAGGATTATTTTAGTTTTAAACCAAGAAGTTACTTAAAACTTCTGACAAGAAATAATCCAGGTCTGTGCATCGAGCTCAGGGCTGATATTAAGAGCTGCAGGCACATTTATCACATTAAAATGTGTTCATCTCTGGCATCATGCCTTTACTGTCACACCATGTGAGACTTTGAAAGTTAGAACCTGCATGAAAAATGACTATAAATCATATTTTCTCGACAAGCCGCGGTGCACCAGTGCACGTATGTTGGGAGGACTGTGTCTCAGCATACAATCATCGTCACTTCAGCTAGAAATCTTAACCAACCGTGGTTTTATTGTTTTAAACAAAGCAGCTGCAAACAAAAGCAAATAAGGATTATCATCCAGCTGTTACTAATAACTGTAATCTAAACAAATCAAGTATAATTGTTTAATCTGTTGGGCAGACTCTAGCAGTTTGGAAACAGCCGCTGTGATGCATCACAGTTTATTATTTATTTATTTTGTTGTGGACAAAATCTTTCTGCGTTGCCACTTAATTTTGTCTGATTCTTAGAACAATTGCATGTTTTATTATATTTCTGCTTTTGTTTGTCAAATAATATAATAAATACAAATAATAATATAAATGAGGCAATCAAAAAGCACATCCTAACCGCAAGGTGTTTAAAAAAATTCATCCATCCATCATCTTTACCCGCTTCTTCCATTTTGGGTCACGGGGGTCGCTGGTGCCCATGTCCAGCAGTCACTGTGCGAGGGGCGGGGGACACCTGGACAGGTCTCCAGTCCATCACAGAAATTAACACAAGAAATTAATAAACTTGTTTTTTTCTTATTTCAATTAAACTTAATTTTGACCTTCAATTATTCCAAAATCCTTATTTCAGATTTAGAGCCATTAAGAAGTAGTTTTAAACAATAAAATGCAACAATTGTTCTTTGTTTCGTTTTTTTCTGCTGATGCCTGACATTTACTGTATCTTAAAACAAATCTTTATCTTAAAATAGTTTTTCATTTGTCATCTTTTATTATGACATTTTATTTAATTTGTTGCTTATTTAAATGATCACGCAGATTTTTGCTGAGCAGTAAAACAGCGGTGGTGTCCTACAGAA